CAGTGTTAAATATGACAAATTGTCCAAGGTGTCAAAAAAAAAAAAAAATCAGGTTATTTCTAACTTGCCCTTCACGCTTTTTCTCTGTAGTTTTGGACTCTGTTATATGCTAAGAGTTCAATTTTGAATAGCGCGTTTACAGTTGCTTGTTACTTAAGAAGAACAAAATAAATCTACTGAATTGGTGAGTAATGCTAGCAGCCTCACAGCATTCCAGTTAGAGTGGCAGATTTTTACAACATGGAAAAGAACATTGTCGGTATGGATTCTTGGCATTTGGGGGCTTTTTGTAACTGACAGTTCTTGAGGAAATTCCCTCACGGACATCATGCTATTATAAAAGACTCACAAGTTACAGGTCTGGACTCTCTATTTCAGGAGAAGGCTTCTATAGATGGTAGCACGTTCTCCAACTCCAGGGACATTTATTTAAATCCTTGATGTGAAGTTTTCTAAAGCGAAAAGGAGCTAGAAATTTAGAGAATAAATTAGTGAACTTCTAGTCAAGAGGGTTGTAGGAATAAGTGTTATCTTTTTGGAATACAAAAACCTAGAAGAAGTCTTGGACATTTTACCAGTTACTGTCACGTCTGGCAGACCTGCTGGGTGTTTATGGTTTATCTGCCTTAAGATGGTACAAAAATGTTACGTTATTCTTAAAATGCGACACAACGAAAACTTCTGCAATTTGAAAGGTACATGAAAGTAGAGATACGTACCCAGTAATCCACCAGTAAAGCGGATAGCTTAAGAAATTGTATGTATGTAGCCAACTTCAGGTTTTAATTTTTGAATTAACGGGAGAAATACTTCCTCACGCAGGGAAGCTGAATTGCCGGTCGTAAGAGAGAAACGCAACCACCTCTGTGATCTCATGAAAGTGCCCAGGCCGCAGCTGGTGCCCAAGGTAAAGTACGGAAATGTGCTCCTGCGGGGTTTTCTAAAAGCCACCTAGTAATGATCCGTTGTGCCACCAGATCTACTGTGTACTTCTGTGCAACCGATGCAGTTCTTCCCTGTTTGTGAATACATCAGTCTGCGCCAGGAGGAATGTCCTCACGGCTTACTACAGAATATGTGGGATTGCTGGAGACTGTTGTCTTAACCTCTTCCAGTCTCGTTTCTGGAAAACATTCCAGCCTTGTAGTGTAACATCTTACTTGGACAAAACGCAAGAATGAAATAATACAGTACAGATGTTTCAAAAACTGTTCGTCTGCCCTTTCTGGGGAAAGAAGGAGGATAAAAACTTCCCAGTCAATTTCAACAATGAAATTATAACGTTGTTGTGCGAGCCACAGAATTCTAACCCTGCCGGAGCAGAACAGACTCTACGAGTTAATACATTCATAGGGAGACAGACAATATGTTCCCGTGTAGGTCCCGTTTCATTTTAATGCAGATAGTTTGGAATTGCCCATCTGCTCGGTATTTCAGAAATACCCAATTTTCTGCTGAGAGGTTCCTTTCCTCTCTGCCCAGAGATGAGGAGGCTGAATTATGACTGTTTTAGAGAAGATGTGTTCATGTGACAATTTACAAAAAAAATTACTTTTACTTTGAATAATACAAGACAAGGTAAAAACGATGACCCGAGGCCACTCCCCTAGTATCGCAGGCAGCCGCAGCATATAATCTATTCCGTAACTGATTAAGCTTAAGAATAGCGGTATATCAATTTAGTCTCGGCCTTTGTAATTTTTATTGTTCTGCTTTCATAGTTCTAGAAAGTTTTGTCCTTTGTAATTATTTTAGACTTCAGAAACATCACCTGTGCAGTCTTCTTTCCTAGGTTTTTCCTAAGAGTGGATCTTCCTTCCCTTCATTTTCTCATTAAAATATTTGAACACCATTAAGTTTATTTTCATGACTAGAATTAGGCAAAGCATGATTTTGTTGCCTGCACAGCTCCACCCCAGAAGTGCATTAGCCTTTTCCACAGCTGCAGCAGCTGCGGCTGAAAGTCCCCAGGTCTCTTCCCCTCCAGAGCACCTAAGGGTGACCTCAGCGGGTGGCACTTAGACTAATACTTAAGACGCCTATGAATAACCTTCAAAGACACCCTGCTGTCCCCACAGCAGTTTTCTCTGCTCAGCTTCCTGTTCTCACCGAGACACGTCTACAGTTTTCTGCTTTTAGCACAATTTTAAGAAACCGGCAACGAACATTTTTGTAATTTTGGAAAACAAGAATCGGAACCTCTCGCCCATGCGAGGCATTGGTTTTAGAGCAAAAGCTGACCCGAGCATTGCTGTTGCAAGGTTTTCTAGTCAACTAATAGAAATGTTATGTTCAAAATGAAGCTGTTACAAGATGAATTCACTGATCTCAAAAAACCCTTACTTCAACTCCTTAATTACTGGGGGCTGAGAGAAGCCTGACAAGTTAGGAGAAAACTGTCTCTGATAGAAACGAAAGAGTAAGAAATAGCCAAATCTACATACAGGTGTCTCAGATGGAACTGTTACAAATAGTATCATGAAATCTGGAAATTATATGGCTGGATTTGGAACTTCACCTTTGCTTCCTTTTAACACAAGCAAATAGTTAGCATCGCTTTTAGTGAAAAGTTAAGCCCGCAGCTGCCCTGAGAACTGCTGGAGTTCACTCCGAGCGTGACACTCCCTGAACTTGAAGGACTTTTCACGGCTGTCCCGGTGTCCCTACAGGCAGCCAGTTTGTGCTCGCACGAGAGTGCGCAACACCGCTCTTCAAGAGCTCACGTATCCTGAGAACAGAGGAGAAACAGTACAGGAAGCCAAGTGTAACATTATGAAAAGGTGAATGAAGTTAATTTCATATGAAAGGAACACTTCTCATTCCTTTAAAACTTGTACAAATAAAATGTGCTAAAGGGTAGTTAAAAATTAAGGTGTTCAAAAGGACTGTAAATATTACAGCTTTGTACGGCTGTATTTTCTTCTCCATTTAGGGTACTTAATTACAGGACTGGGATACTGTTAAAATAGTGATACATGCTACTCCACCTGACCCCTCTTTTTCTGTCTCTTGCAGAGTTCCGCGTAGTGATGCTGCAGGCGCTGGCTGCTGGGCCGTGAACGGGGGCTCCGGTTCAGGTGCCACCAGGGCTGGAAGGGTTTGTGAGCGGCATCCTGACAAACTGGATTCTCAGCATGCGCTGCGAAGGGCACCGTCTAACAAAATACGAGGCAGAGATTATGTCTTAAAGCATTGTGCTGATAGCCATAGGAAGGCAGCAAAGATTCATTATGTTTTCAGTTTTTGAAGTCATTATCTGTAGCCACGAGATGGCGGTTTCTCGTCATACTTCTGTCACAACTGACCCGGGTTTTTTTGATGTCAATGATTTATACTTCTGCAACTCTGAATGGAGCCATTCAGCCTCTGCTTGCTGTACACACATCAAGTATTAAACCTGACTCGCTGCATTAGTCTCTTAAAAGAATTGTTTGTTGGAGTTAAGAATGGCAACGGTTGCTGATAATGAAATCCTCCGGAACACAAAGTATCTCTGTGGATAAGTCTGTCATTCTTGTGTCATAGTCGAACAAAAAATCCAGGCTTCACTTCAGCTAAAGTCAAAGTCTCTCTTAATAGCCCCTTAGATAACTAATGCAAGCAAATGTTTCTGTGCTAAACTAGCTTTAAGGACTGAAGCTTTATTTTTTCCCTTGAAGAATAGAGAGGTGACTCAATACTTAAAGCAACTGCTAGGAATTTAGACCATTTCTTATTGACTATAAAATGAAGTGGCTAGAACGTTTATCTTTAGTAAGACTAATGTGAGGGGGAGGACAAATGCACAGGCAACAGGATATTCTAATTGCACTGTGTTGTTCGATGGTTCTAATTAAATCCCACTATCCCAGCACTTCAAGCAGAACAGAGGCCGTGTGTGTGTGTGCGTATGTATACACGTCTATGAAAATCTGAAAGGAAGGAAAAATTCAGAGGAAAAATTCAGAAAAATAGCAGAGGAGCTAAAACGAAGCCAGTTTCTCTCTGAACCTGCTACAAACTGCAGCAATCTTCTCCTGCAGGTGTTCATTTCCAAAACGACAGCCTGCCTCACTCTAAGAGGTTTTTTTCCTTTTTAAGAAGACCCCTATAAATTCTGTTATCCAATACTTCTTACCTATACTTGCAGCCTGGACTGGCAGGTGAAATGCAGTGTAGATCAGTGTTCTTCACTGACCAACTATTAAACAACCAGTACTCGGTTCGCACACTGTGAAACAGACGGAGTTGGCCCCGTGGCTGCACACAGGCGCTGCTGCAGAACTGCCCTGAACCCACAGCCCGTGGTGTTACGCTGTCATTGAATTGGAATTTTCGAGTTCATTCTCAAAAGATCTTGGTTTGGCGAAGTTACACCTTTAGGTCCCTGCTGCAAGAAAAACATGAGTTTGTTGGCAAAGCCTGCTTATTCAAAAGAACCTGAGAGGGCCCGGTGACAATTGTGAGCATCTGTACGTCTGTGCAGCTGGCTGCCAGGTGATGCCACGGCCACAGCTGTGCTTGCCCCCCAACCCCGAAGCAGAGGATGCCACGCTTGCCTCTCGGTCCGAGCCCCGTGCAGAGCGTTACCTCGGCAAGCGCCAGCAGCAGGACAGGAGCCGATGGCAGGGAACGGGTGAGGGCCCCGAGCTATGTTTGACAGAAACCTCTCTTTACGCTTCCAGGGGTTATAGGCTTTGCTTGGTGCATTTTTAAGGCTTCCCTATGGTGACAGTCCTCTTGTAATCTTATGGCCTGTATTTGTTGGTTAGTTAAATTAGAAATAGAATTTAACAATCAAACTGAGTTTGGTAAACAAGTGATGTGCAATACTAAAATGAGCAAACAGCATTGTCCCTGGTGTAAGTAGGACCTCCCTTAGAGAGGGGTTACTCAGCACAGAGACTAATTTAATGAAGCATAAATTACAAAAAAAATTCGAAACCTCTGAACACTTTCGTCTTCCTACACACGGATACAGAGAGGATAACAGCTTCAGTATCACTGCCTTACCTTGGTTTTTAGTTAAAGTGATAATAATCCACCCCTTCCTTCAAGTTCAGCGTGTTCAGGTTTGTTTCAAATGCTCCGCCTGTCAAATCCTGTGAGGGAAGAAAAAGAGAATTAGATCCACCAGACAAACTCACTCCCGGTTGTAACAGGTTTTGGTAATTTGGTTCTTTGGACCACAGAAGAAAGTCCCACTTGCAGAACTAAACATAAATAAACCAAGGCTCAGAAACGTTTCCATTCAAAAATAAAGCGTATGTCGAAAACTTAGTGTTCAAATGAATATGTTTGCAGCGGGGGGGATATTAGGCAACTCGTTCTCGTGCTGCTATGTAGAGCACAAGGGCTGCACGAAGCACAGCTCTGCAGCTGCTAGCGGCACGTTTTGCTTTCTAATGCAAGCATTTTCAGAGAATGGACCACGGCAATGAGTCTGACAAAAGAGTGATTTTTCTAGATTTTGAGCAATGATTAGCTTGTCTGATAAACCAAACCTTTCATCAGGCACCTGTGATATTTTGCGTAGTTAAAGGTGTTTCCTTCTGAGCCCTAGTTACGTTATCTGAGCAGGAACCTGGTAGGTTTGCTCCGGGAGCAATCTTGCAAGGCAGTGACGTCATTAAGAAAACAACTTCAGCGTTTCCGAGCATTTCTACTGTGGTCTTCGTGGAGTCCTTAGTTCTGCTGATCTTCAGGACTGCCACCAAAAAAATGATGGATTAAAGCTCACGATACTACAGGAGGTGGGTAGAGAGGTTGCTAGCGTGCGTTTGGTTGGCCCAGAGCAGCAATACTGAAGTTTTAACAATGCGCAACAGTACCGCAAGTGTTCAGGACAGGGCGGTACGAAAGCAGAGTCCCGCTGACACTGCGGAATTAAAGGAGGTGGAGCGCTAGACTTTGGCTAGAGTAACTGGAGCAAAAAATTGCTCTGGGATCTTTCATGAACCTGAGTTCAGAAACAAAGGTTTCTGTCGCACATGGAGGACTGTACCGCCAGCTTCCCAGCTCGCCTTGGACCCAGCGGCTGAGCTGCTTATAACCACGCTCGCAGTATTTGGGTGGTGCTTGGGAGCCTTCCCCTCGGGGAAGGCCGCCATCTCAGCCAACAGGGAGGCTGACAACCAGACAAGCCGACCCCTCTCCTCCAACCCTCTGCATCGTTTCTGTGGCCTGAATTTATATGGGAAGGGAAGCACGGCCCGAGTACGCCTCAAACCGCCCGCCACAGCAGCCTGCTGCGCCTCAGGATCACAGATGCTCCCCCGTCTCCTGCACGATTCCCATCTACCTGCCATGTTCTATTTCCACTAGCGATGCCAAAAAATACAAAGATGACATAATCTGGTCCAGAACTTCAACAAAAACCACAACCACCAGTCTTAAAATTCATAATTGAGCTCTGATGTTTACTAACCATAAAAAACCTGTAAGAATAGCTAGTGAATCGTTTGGAGAAGGGGAGGAAAGGGCCGCCGGCACTAGGCTTGTTAACCAAGGTAACCAATTTCTTCTCTGAGCGATAAGGCCCTGATTGTGAAAGATGTTGAGTACTTGTTACTTCTTGCAATCAAGAATACTTGGTGGCATTTAATACTTTGAAGGACGGGGTCCTCATTTCACCATCCAGTTAAGATCCCAAACTGTCACTGGTCCGTCTGCAAAACTCACATCACAGGGAATTCTGCTCAGGAACGGAGGCCTTGATACGGCCTTTAGCTCCACCAATGATTTCATAAACCCACGATTTCCCCAGTTAGGACACAGGGTACGAAACAGTTGCATTTAGCTTGCTGAAAAATCAACCTGCTCTAAAGAAGGGTTAAAAAAAAAAAAAAGAGCCCAGATACTAAATTAGGCGGGAGAGTTAATAACAAATCTTGCATTGCCAGAGCACAAGGCTGAGGTGACAGAACAAGGCAGGGCTTTCCAATAACTGGTCTAACAGTAAATTTACCGAAAACTTTATACAATCAAACTAGTTTAATTACTGAGGCAGAAAAATACAAATCCCTCTCATTTCAAGCACTTGGAGTCCATGCCAAAACAGGGCACAATACATGATTTCTAAGCATTTTGCTTTTACCTCAAAGCGAGAGAAAATACAGAGTGCAAGCCCTTGGCTGAAGTGGTACTGCAGGCCGCTCGCCGTTTTGACGAGCTCAAGCCACAATTTTATTCTCTTCAGCAAAAACGTACAGGGGCGCACACACGGAGAGCAGAATTTTGGCTACAGCCCTTTGTGGAGCCATTTTAAAATGCAAACTGAGCAAAGATCACGCAGGATGACTGCTTTTACAAAAATCATTTCGTATGGTAGCAATGCTAGCAAGGGAGGAACTGCCTGAAAAAATAAAGCAGAACACTACTCCAAGTACATAGCCAGCAGAGCCGTTTCTTGCAAACTGCCCACTTAATAAACATATCTAATCTTCAAAATTACCCTCTTAGAGCTGCATATAAACATGCAGTTTTGTCTGTATCAAAACTAGAAATAATCCCCTACCCTGAACAGCGAAAGACAGGACAGTAAGGCCCCGGGACACTTTCTTCTTCACAAGGATGGTGATGAACTTATGTTGGTAAATAATAGAGCTAAATTTGGAAGTCTGGGACTTTTGTTTAAGAAATTAGCTAAGAGGATCTGCGGCTAATTCGGCCTTACATAAACTTCCAACAGTCCCATGCACCAGGAGCTAGGCTGTACTTGCGGCACTGACAGCCGTCTGCACCAGCCATGTCCCTGCGCTCGCTGGGGTTCTGCATGGCTGCTTGCTGCACGACCTGAAGCACAGAGCTGGGTAAGGCTCCTTGCCCTGCACAGGGTGAAAATACAGGTAACCTCCCCAGCACAGGAGTTCTGGGTTTGCCCCCCCGGTATGCACAAGGACAGCGCCCTTTTTGCAGAGGAATTTTGTCTCAAATGGAGTCTTTCACATCCGCCTGGGACTTCAACTTGTAACAGCAACCTTTTTTGCACAGTTTGATTTGATAAATCTGGGTGAATAGCATCAGAGAGGCAGCAATAGCTATTGCAAAAAAGACAACCTTTTTCATTTGATGCAGTCTTAATATTTTATGTACTTATCCCCTATCCTACTTTTTCCTGCGCACCCACTTTCAAAAAGCACGTTGGGAGAAGAAATGTAGAGACCCCGCAAAGACCAGCCCTCGGCATCGTACTTGGCCTGCACAACATCAACGCAGATGGATGACAAAGTTCAATACTCTGCTCTTCTCAACCCACTTAGAAACCATTTCCTTTAGGGTCAGGTCTAGAAGCTTGAAAGCTGCTGCAGACAGGATACCTGAATAGTTTAAACCACAGACATTTATCAACTTGTTTTGTTTTGGTAGAAGACTACTTTCCATGACAAAACTACTACTGAAAACTGTGGCCATTTCAATCCACCCACAACCCTGCAAGCAGCAGGAGTGGGATTTCACAGACTCCGACAGCCTCCACGAAGACTCCTGACAGCGATAAAACACAGCAAGTATGACAGCGGCTGCTATGACAGAGGTTGCTAAAAACTATTCCTTAAGATCAGCTGCGAAATCCCATGGCGGAGAAAAGGAGGGTCCAGCAGCCTGGCTTCTGGAGAGGGACGGGGAGCACTGCTGCTTGCTTCCCGAGACCCTCCGAGCCTTTTCTCTCTCCACTGGGTTTTATGCTTCCTACCCTTTGGTACAGCTGTATTTATGGGCTTTATTTCTTCCTTATGTTGTCTGTGGTTTCAGGTGATAACAGGGTATTAGGCACCACTAACAGAAAAATTTGGTTTCGGTTCTTTATTGTAAATTTGTTTTTCTAACCACCTGATTCTCTGTCTTCGCAATATTAAAACACTAATATGGTATAATGACAGGTGTACTGCGAGGTTCACGTGATTAACAGGTATCAGTATGCCTAAAACCTGTAACAAGGTAAGCTCCATTATGGACTTCCATATGTTGTTACGCAAGTTTATTTTCAGCATTGGTCTTGTCTGTTTGGCCACCATTTTCTTTTCCCAGCGTGCAGCGCCGCTGGAACGCCACGCGCCTTGATCTTTACTTGCCTCCGCACTAGGGCGTTTTTGCCATCAGCCCCTGTAACACCCGCCGTCACAGCAGCCCACTGTGTAATCTGGTCACGAAGCGAGAGGGGAGCGGAGATAGCTCGCCTGCGGTTTCTAGAGACGTGGCTCCATACAAATGGCTATTGGCTTGCTTAAATTCTCCTAAAAAGTGAGCTGCTTCCAAGACAGATTTTAGAAGCAACTTGGCCAACTCTGGAACTGTTTCAAGTAGGTCAAATTGTATTTCCGAAGACAATACTGCATATTCCTTAAATGATACTATGGCCTACAGTGTTCTGTGCTCAGCAAGCAGTAAGTGCTCAGTGGCCACGAGTGGAAAACTACACTGAAATCACAACGGGAGTCATGGACCAGAGCTTTCAGGCAAGAGGCTGTATAATAGTCTCATTGTAAGGGCTTCAGAAATTCAATGTGCTTTATAACAGGTTGCACAGATGTTTTGTCTAGGGACTTCCACCCACCATTATACGTAGTATGAAAAATTAAATTAGTTGTAATATCACTAGCTTATCCAAGAGTTTATCAGCAAACAGTACATGATAATGCCCTAAGGTACCTGCAGTCTGGCTTTACAACTCCGTTATGATCTCAGAGTTGATCGTGAAGTTGGGAGTGCTAAGTTTAAAGAAAACTGTAGCAGATGAGATGAGATTCAGCTAATCCATCTTTGAACAGATCTAGTACAGCGTTAGAATGTCCGTGTTTATATGTAGCTACAGGTTTTAGTTACTGGTAGAGACTTCTTACTAGCATTTGCAGCTAGAATGTATTTGCTATTTTGCTTTAAAACTTCTGTGTTATCCCTTACACTGTGCTTTGCTATTTTAAATATAACAGGAAAATACCTGCTGGCGATCATCTTCTAGTTATGTTATTAGGTCAATTAAACCAGTCGAAATAAGAAAGTTACCAGAGTCAGGCACAGAAGAGGCTTCAGAATTGGCAATGCCAAACAAAACGGCTTTTAAGATCTGATTTAAAAAACAAAGTCTTTGCCACACACAGGGCTGCAAAATATTAGGAAGAAAGGCGGCCAGGTGGCTGACTGTATACGCTCATTTGTGTATGTAATGTTGTTGGGCAAGAAAGTAAAACAGATCCAAGCTCCTTCACAGAAGCTGTACCTTTTATTATTCTTAATACCACTTTACGTAATACTGCTGGTTTAAATCCCTGAAATACTCTGCACAATCCGTTTGATAAAAAAGGCCATTCAACTGCATAGTAAAAGCTTCTGGGAAAAGCTACTTCCAGTAAATAGAATTCATCTTCATAAGGAGCAAGTACTGATTCTGCACAGAACGCTAAGGCCACGGTGGTACTCACCAGCTTCACGCAGATAATGAAAGGTGGAGTTGCGTCTCTGAAGTGACATACGGGAATTCTTGGTCTGGGTCTCTCCTGCAGGAAAAAGCAGTAGACTCCAGGAGAGGCACACAGGGTTACTTGTTAGCTTAGTTTTAGGAGCTACTAAACACTAAAAGGGGGAAAAATTATTTTGAGACCTCGTGCTAACTAGTCCAGCTGGTCACAGGCTTCTGCTCATTATTTTGCCCGTTGTTTCAAGTACCCCTTATTTTCTTACCATAATCTTTGGATACAATTGCGTTTCTCCGACCAAAGTCACACATTACAGCAGATCTGAATTCAGAACTTTCTGCTGTTGAAAGGAGGAGGTCTCACTCCTCTCCTCCACTGCTTCTTCCTGACCTCCAAGCACTACCTTTAGCCCTTTCCCAAACAATTTGATCTGATTGCAAGCTATGCCGCTTTAATAGCCTACCCCATAAAAAATACGTTCTTTCTTTTGTTGGCAGGTTAATTTTCTGCCACTTTAGTGAGCTGCATCAGCTTACTGTGCCACCAGAGAAGCACCAGAGCAGGCACGATAGCGGGTACGAAGGAGAATCTTTCCCTCTCGGTGGGAGCTGTTAAATGGCTTATGGCCAACTGGGACTTCACCATGGATCCAAGCTGCAGAATTTTCTAGGGATTCCCGACAGGTTGCAGTGCAATCTTTACGGCTGATCTGAGAGGATGGGTATGTCTTCGGAAGACACATGCACGGGATCTGTAACAATTATGCTGGCAGTGTTACTGCACTGGTAGGTAGCGAGTCCTCAGTATTCCAGGTCAAAATCCTGAGCTCCAATTGCTTTCATGCAGCTGAAAGCACTCATTAGCTTCCCAGTATAGAATTGATTTTACAGTTACTCTCGTCTAACCACAGGCCGTATCTGAGGAGGTGCCCCTCCTCTCCCTCAGTCCTACTCCCATCAGATATAAGGATCACGCAGCCCCAGGGTAATTTGATTCACAAGATAACTTGCTGGAAACCTTTTTATTTTGAGGGTTCCTTTTCTGCCAGATCAGCTAACTGAATCAAGTCATCCTTTAGCCACAAGGCTGCTAGACCCATTGTAAACAAAGCCGTGGGAGCGTGTGGCCGAGGCCACTGAGCGCGGTCAGACCACCCCTGCAGCCGGGCTGGCTACGCTGTCACGGCAAACTGCGCTTGCGGAAGGCTGCGCTCACAGGAGCCGATCCAATGCCCAGCGAAACGAAGAACTGTCTTTTCACCAACTGTTGCAGGGATGGAATCTGGATGAAACTTTACTCCAGGTCTTGAGCTAATAGCTATCGTGAAATTAATACTGCAACAAGATGACATTTTTTTTTCTATGTGGTTTGTTTATTGCCATCTAAATATTATGCTTCCTCATCTAGGGAATAAAATGTTGCTCCCTACAATTTTAGGCTCCCAAGGAACCTATCAAAGTTTTATTCAGATACAGTATAACTATAATATCCAGATAGGTTACAATTAATTACAGAAGCTTTCTTTACTTCAATAGGTATTTGACTTTTATCCATCATGAGCCAAATTCTACTCCCACTTAAAAAAAAACCTGGCCGTGAAGGCAATGTTTTACCCCATCATCAGAATCCTTTCAGAGTATATATATTTTGTCTTTCTAAACGGAATTCAGTGCGTGTGAGGCCCATACTTCTGGCTCCACGGTTCGCACTCCAGCATCAGTCCCCAGCTATCTCATCTTCCGTCAGGGCCTCCTTACCAAAACGAGTTGCTGTACAATATTTAAAGTCAGTGAGGTATCCTTTCACCGCATTTCCCAGAACGCTTCCAGATCACAGTAAGGAATGCAAGAGTACTTATAACTAACCTCAGATTCTTCGTAAGTGTAGAATCCTTTCGTTATTTTCTTTTCATCAACGTCACAAAATGCAGCTACCTGGCAAAACAGAAGCAGAACATTTCCATACCACTCTGTGCTACCAGCAGATATTTCACCTGTAGCGTATCCACGTAAGTCATGCTACAGGCACGTGAACGAACACAGGAATAGGGCAACACACCCTGGTCCTCCTACACAGCTTAACAATTTATTACATCCTTTCCGGGTGTACCTGAAGGAGCTGGGCAAATTTTGCAGTTGTCGATGAGCACATTTTGTTTTTACGAACATGAGAACAGGTGATGTAAGCTACTGACTGCCTAAGAGAAAACATCTGTGAGATCACCAGCTTCATCCTCAGCAATACGCTAAACAAACTAAAACCAGAGACGAGCCTCCTCCTTTTGGCACTGGCACTGAACACCTAAGATCAGATAATACAAAGCTGCCTCTTTCTGCCCACCCCAAGCACATAACCCCCCCGGTACCTCAGCGTAACAGAGCTGCGCTATTGCTGTGGATGCTCTGGCCATACCAGCCTCAATTCTGGGTCATAACGCACCGAGCTTGGGAATTCCTATGGTTTTGGACTTCTGAACAACTGAAACGTTCAGCAGATTTGGTGTTTAAACACATATAATTACTGCTTCATTTTGGTTATTCTCACCATAGTTACGGCAGCATTATTTGCAGCCCTAGTTGCCAAATACTTCAGATGGTTTTTTATTTGCATTCCTCATAAATATGCAGGCAGATTAAATGCCTGCAATCCAAAATACACAGTGCTCTCATTTTTGAACCATTAGGTTGCCAGTAACATTTGGGAAGACTTTTTAAAATCAACATAGCTATGTTTTCCTCTGACTTCCACTGGGTCTCTTCATATTCTCCACACAGAACTCTCAGACTGAAGCGGAACAGTTAAGATAGTTAAGGTCTTGCAGAAATCAATTACTCTGGGGAAAGCTGGATAGAAGTTTTCCTATCTTTTTAATTGCTGCATTAAAAATTGATTAACAACACTTACTGCTGAGAAAATTTGAAAAGCCAAACAGCTGTTTATTAATCTATTAAGTTAGAGAAGGCTGCAAGAGGCTGTCTTGCTTTCTGTGCCTACAAATCTCTCTCACACATTTTCCTCCTGTGATTAAGATCGTTTTCTTTTACCTAAAGTGACCTCATTCTGTTTGTGCAGCGGAAAACACCGACCCGAGAGCACTGGTGTCCTAATGCTGAACCTCGGCCCTGACTGCTGCTTCGCTCCCGACGCGGAGTGCCACCTCTGCAGCCCAAGGGCAAAACTGCAGAGGAACAGAACCGCGTTACACGCGTTTGCAGGCAGCGGCCTGGTAGCGCTGCGCTCTCTTGCAACATAAAAGGTGTTTCCACATCAAAAATACTTTGGAGAGATTTCCACTACTCAATGGAACAGTTTTCTGTCCAAATCCTTCAATACCGTAATATCAGTTCTTCCATTAAACATCAATGGAAAGAGAATACAAACCAAAATACCAAGGGACTACAAATACGGCTAACCACCACCACCAGATGAAGCCATGTGGAAAATACAGCTAATGAGCTGGAGGGGGTGGGCAGGGATGGTCCTTGGAACCACGCACAGGTAGACATTCATTCCTGGAAAGCAGGCTGCTTGAAAACAGGCACCAAAAGAAATAAAGAACAGGACATTAAGGAAACATTACGTTTTCACTTTGGGGCTGTATGACCAAAGGAATCGCATTACAGGCCAGCAGATCCAGACTTTTGCTCTGGATGACCCTGCTGCAGGGACGGCACCAAGGCCCCTTCCCCCTGTTTCAGGCACTATCAGGGCAATAGGAAGCAAGGAGGGAATTCAGGGCAGCGCTAGGAAGCTGCGAGACATTGCACATGGCCTTTGTGGCCGATGCAGGCCGGGTTAGACAGTAGCAAACACCAGCAACTCCTTCAGGCACGAAGGCTAACAACGAGGATCTCCCGCAGGCTTTCTTTTTCCTCTCAAACACAAGTAACACACTTTACATCCCTGGCCCTATTCCCATGACCACTGTGATGCCTCAGTGTAGGTGAAAAATCAGATGGTGTGGACTGAGCACAGTAAACGACATCCCAAGATTTCCTCTACCCACCTTATTTATATATGTACATATATACACACACACATACACACACGCGTGCGTACATAAATATGTATCTATGTGAAGGAAAGCAAGCAGAAGCCACTGTGGGAAGAGGTTACTTAGCTGTATACTTTTCGTTCTGTGTTAACCACCTTTACAATTCTCCAATATGCTGCAAATCTCAGTTCCACCACGGATGTTTTACTGTCCTAGAAGCTGTGATCATTAGAAACAAAATTTAGCAGGATATGTCTTCACTGCCAACCCAACAGAGTTCTGGGAATAAATACCGTCCAATACATTGACTTGTCTTCCAATAATTGAAGCTATTTTTTCAGCTGCTTATACTCCTATAGATTTTTAAAAAAACAACCAAAACACCAAAACTTTGGACATAAGGTAAAGTGAAATTCTCTCCTCACTTTAATGTCAGTAACTGGGAATTCGGCTGTAAGAGCTGTGCTGGCCGGTATCACACTGCTCACCCTCAGCGTCTTATAATACAGTTAACGAGCCCCTGACCGGCGCACAGATTTCTTCTTAACGTGAACGGTGTTAGAGAAGCAAAGATAGTTCTTGTACCGCTCGATGACCAACAGTCACCGTCCTTCCCCTCATCCTGTGCCATACCTCACCCTACCACGTGCAGAGAACGCTGCAAGCTGCCTCTGCCGTACCGCCCGCCCAGCCGCCCGCCGCACCGGCCCCCGACGCTCCCGGTAGCAGCAGCTGTGTGAAAGCACCACTTGACAGGTAAGCCTGTGACAAATGTCCCTTGGAAATGTCGCAATCCTTTTTTTGAGTTACCACCAAGTACCTCCACCGATAATTTTCAATGGATAAGAACCCCCCCCACCCCCCCCCCCCCCCCCCCCCCCCCCCCCCCCCCCGCCGCACCGGCCCCCGACGCTCCCGGTAGCAGCAGCTGTGTGAAAGCACCACTTGACAGGTAAGCCTGTGACAAATGTCCCTTGGAAATGTCGCAATCCTTTTTTTGAGTTACCACCAAGTACCTCCACCGATAATTTTCAATGGATTCAGCCAGCTTCAATCTGATAGTTACAGTGCTACAAAACAGGTCAGACTTGAATGGGCAATTTTTCTGCCAGACTGTACACCATGTGGGTGGCCAAAATGTAACTCAACTATTTTTCTGACACACACTATTTATTTTCCAATTAAAGAAAATCTATGTCTGGAGTCCAAATACAGGACTTAACACAGTTGTTTATCCTATAAGGAGAGCTCAAGGCATCAGGCTTACATGAGCTATTTACTTCATACTATCAGGAGAAACCCAGCGTTACCTATTTATTTTCCTGCACTAATGGGCTTCTTTCTTGGCTCTTTTATGACGACCATCTATCCATACGTGACCTACTGTCTCCCAGGGAGGAACCTGTGAATTACAAAGCTATAAAGCAGTCTCAAGTCGTTTTTTTCCCCTCCTTCTAGCAAAATGGCTCTTTTGCAACGCCTCTGACAATATGACACCATTGAAGCTTACAGAGTCCTCAGATCACACTTCAGTTTTAAGAAAATATATAAATGATTACATATTTTTGTTTTGAACATCACTTGTATGAAAATCTGCACAATTCCAAAACGAAGAAAAAAGATTGCTATTTCTCTCGGCTAAAAATTGGAAGAGACAGCTACATCTCTCTTACATACAAGCTACGTGATTACTAGAAGCAATTTTTATAAATATGGATTGCACCATACATTAACAACAGCGTAAGGGAAAAAGGAGAACTAGTTTTCTCCCTCGTAAGAGCAAGTTTATATGGCTCAAAAGGTAAGATATTTACTCAAAAAAAATCTCTGCTAGGGGAAGACCCGTTGGAGGCAGATAAAAGCACTTCTCTGGCTGGTCGTTTTTAATAAACGGAGCAGCGGCGCGAGGGGACGCGCAGGCTGGGGCTGGCCGACCTCCCCGCGGCACGGGGAGATGAAGGGGCCGCAGATCAGTCCTACCCCAAAGGTACAACCTGACAAGTCACTAAGAGCGGCCTTGGGGCGCAACTGTAATTATCCCGCTGTGCGAGCTGCGCTACTCGTACACAAGAATTAAGAGTTTGTTTCATACCTGACTTGTTTACTGCCTTGTTGGCCACTGCGGAGGACGCTTCCTTACACTTCCCATTCCACTCAGATCTCCTAATGGAAAAACTCAAAAGATTTCATCAGCCTCATAATGTCCTTTTATGGTGAATGATCCTCATAGGATTTTATTCCCTCATTTTCCCCTGTGGTCTGCTTTAGGTCTGTAATGATCATTTACAGAAAGCAGCAAAACGTAATCACAGCAAACTCTCGAGATCTGTTCTAGCTGGAAGGGTGCAAGAGGCAAGTTTTACAAGGGAGAGTGAATAACTTAGTAGAGCATGACAGGAAAAATGGACAACCCTTTTGATAAATGGTCACCTGCACGTTGCCTCCTCGCCCCCCTCATTACATCAGTGGCTCTCATAAAATTTATCTTTAAAGACGACAACCTGCAAACTCTCTACAAAATCCTATACGAGCAGATCTTCCCTACTGCATTCTCTCCACATCTCATGCAATCCTGCATCCATTTTAAACTTCTAGTGACCCTGTTGATTCTTCCATTTAAAATTCTTTCATTCATACTTATATAAAGCCCGGGAAGCATGTTAATATACATCTCCGCAAAAGTTAAATCTATTTTGGCCATTCATGTCAAAACAAAGCAACTGAAAGCATTGTAATGCAAGTTTAAATAGATCCAGTTAATGACAAACAGAACAAGAGACGCGCAGAGGCATAAACTTCTTCCAGTACGCCACGAGCGGAACCATGAAGCTGGCGAGCGGCTCTCCATCACAACCCGAGTGACTGCCAGGACCAGGGCGCTGCTTTTATTTCACCTCTTTAGCATTACAGCCATGGCAGAAGCTGCGGGTATCTTTAAAT